TTCAGCTCCGATGTGCAGGAATGCAACAGTCTCAATCATTTTTTGAAGTTGAGAAGTATTATCATCAGACATGTCATTTATTTTTTTATTTTTTTACCGGATCGCTTTAATCGGCTTCCATCGCCTGCTCATCCTTTCTGTTGGTACTTAATAATGCAGGACACTGCAGATTTTTCTCATTTATCACTCCCACCCAGCTGGACTTTAAGTGACAGATTTACTAGATAGCTATTTCAACTGCATGTAACACTGCCAGCAGGGTCGGTAAGACTGACAGAGTCAAACCAGCTTGATGACCTGTCTTTGATAATGACCAAACAGGAGAGAAGGACAATGAAAAAGGAGGAACAGGCAAGCATGTTTAGATATGTAGGGAATTGTGTGGGTGGATGAAGGAAAGGGACCAGAATGAGAATTAAAGCAACAGAATTATGGATGTTTTTGTTGTGTGATACGCTGTGTTCTGAAGATAGATATTTCAAATATGATCAGATAACAGAATAATGTGCATATAAAAGATAATGGCTATGTACAGGACCATTTCTAAATACAAGACAGTACAAGTTGGAGCATCAGAAGATCAATGTAACTTAATTGTCTGCTCTTGAAGAATGAGCTTGATAGGTCTGTGTTAGGTTTACTCCTTACAGATTTCTTTAGGTTTTTATTAGGGAATATCTAATATTCCCTAATATCTGATATCTGATATCAGTCCAATATCATAAAGAAAAAGAGTATTGGAATATCTCTGCATGCGTCTAAATTATCTTGTATAAGCAACCCGATAGAAACACTGCTTCTATCTGCTTCTGTTTAAAGTTTATGTAAGTCACTAGTTTAAAATAAACGGATTAGTAAGCTTTCATACATATTTTTGTTGGCTATTGCTCTCTATTTGAGCAATATCCTTTGTTTAAAATGCCACCTTACAAAAAAAGTAATAAGAATACATATGATTCATGGTGATATTGTATCAGGTCAACATTGGTACAAACTCTAATCCCTAAAGCTAGTTTTTAGGTATAACTGTAACAATAACAATACAGCATGAAACAATTCTGCTAATTGGACTTTCCTGTTTCAGCGAACCAAATTATGCCCAATAATGAAAAAAGAAAAAAATCTGATTTAGGCCATCTTTTTGCTTTCAAAATGTATCTTTGTATTATGTGCGTGTGTGTATATACACATGTGGAGAACTTTGTTCCACTATTGTTACAAAAAAAAACTATTTATAAATGGAAATTTAGAAACAAAACTTTGATAAACGATTTAAACAAATAATAGTAACAATAATATATATATGTGTATATATATATATATATATATATATATATATATATATATATATATATATATATATATATATATATATATATATATATATATATATATATATATATATATATATACGTATATATACGTATATATATACATATATGTGTATATATGTATGTATATATATGTGTATATACATGTATGTATATATGTATATATATATATGTATGTATACATATATAAATATATATATATTATATATATATATATATATATATATATATATACAAGTATATAAATATACATGTATATATTTATTTTTTATATATATACTTGTACATATATATATGTACAAGCATTGTTATGATAATCATTCAACTGATAATAAATTAGTAGCTTTACCTTTGATTAGAATTACCTATTAATTAACTAACTTCCAGTTCTAGGTATTTAATATATTCATAACATTCACAACAGCATAATGTCACAAACTGTTTTTAACTGTTACGATTTTCTAGTAGAAAGAAAGATTAACGGTTCCACTATTGGGCTGTATGCAGAATTCCACTACTTTCTGAACTTAAGGCAGCTCTTTTGTTTCCTTTTCTACTGAATCAACTGATTAACCCAGATATGCCTGACCTCAGTAACCATGGCCAGAAACACTTGGATTAATCACTTCATCCAGTAATGAATGACAGGAAACAAAGAGCTTCCTTAAGTTCAAGAAGTAATGGAGCTGTGCATAGAGCCTATTACCAAAAGTGATCCAGGTTCTACAAAAACAAAGCAGCTTATGAACATTACAACCCCCCCCACCATGTTTAACTGTTCATACTGTTTGTCTTCTGAAACACCATGTGTTAGTTTCATACACAGCTGTAAAAAAAATTAACGCCTTTGCCTGACTAAACAGAAAATGTTATCTGGGAGATTATAAAGATGGTTGTTTGGAATGGCAAGATAGGCCTTTGTGTTTTTTTATGATCGGCAGTCATTTTGGCCTTAATTCTCTTTTCAACCCAGATACAGTACAAGGTCTGTTTTTTGTTAAATTATGAAAACTTACTACTGAGGCAAGTGAAGCCTTTCATGAACTTATGCTTATTGTGGCCTCCTTGCACACTCTTCTACTTCTGTGTTGTCTAAATCTAAACCATGCCTTATATTGTGGTTCCATAAAAATCCAAAATCGTAGAGATTTATTTGAGCACTGACAGATATTAATAAATCCTTGATCTGTATTAGATTTTTTTCTTTGATGGGGGCATTGGTTTCTTTTTGACGGCCTATTAGACTACTTTGATTTGCTTGATAAGCTCCTTTGCATAACCATTTTCTTGATTCTGATGGGCTGACATTTGCTCCTTGGAGTGTTTTTGTGAAACAAAACCTTTTTTTAAATATTGTTAATCACTTTAAATTTATGCTCCTGCAATTTGGAAATCTTAGCTTTTTTCTTAGCTTATTTTTTTTATAGTCATATAAGCAATACTATTTTATCTGGTTTGTTATCGAAACAATTTCATGTTAATGACTGAAAAGGACAAAAAAACTACACAAATCTGTCTAGGATGTGAATACTTTTTCACAGGACCTCTTCAGTTTGGTTGTACTTTGCAATCCAACAGTGCCTGGAACAAGAATTAAGATAATACAGCAAAGATAAAATCTTTCAAATTATAGTACCAATGTGAAAACATCATATCTTGCTTGATTGCATTGCCTTCATGAGTAAAGGTGTTGATTTTATTACCAACTTTGCACAGAGTCTGAAACTCACACATTATCACATGTCTCTGCTGATCTGCAGGCTTTCTTTTGCTCCTCTTATCAGAGGAGGTGTTGCACTTCCTCTTCTATTATGCAGATAACTATTATATATCAATTACTTGTTTGTAGAGTGTAAAAGGAAATGACTCTTACTTTTATTTTATTCAAAAAAATACTTTTAAAATTGAAACTGAACGATAAGGCTTGAGTCAGGAGTATGCGGGTATAGTAGCCAGTGGTGTCATAAGTACACACATTTGTTACTTAAGTAGAGGTACATATACTGCAGTTTAAAAACACTCTGATAAAAGTTAAAGTATCAACTTGACCTCTTTACTCAAGTAAAAGTGAAAAAGTATGCACTCCAAAAAATACTTAAAGTATAAAAGTATAGAGTAACCTTTAAAAAAAAAAACAGCCAGATGCCACTATACATATTGAAAGCTCAATTTTTTTTACTATTTTGAAAAGTTCTTTGAGATATAGTATATAGGGCAACAGTGGCGTTGGAGGTAGGAATTTGCCCTGAAATCGAAGGATTGACGGTTCAAGCCCCGACTCTGACTTTCAGTGTCGTTGTGTCCTTGGGCAAGACACTTCACCTGCATTGTCTACTGATGGTGGTCAGAGGGCCCGGTGGCGCCAGTGTACGGCAGCCCCGCTTGTCAGTGAGCCCCAGAGCAGCTGTGGCTACAATGTAGCTTGCCACCATCAGTGTGTGAGTGTGTGTGAATGGGTGAATGAATGTAGTGTAAAGCGCTTTGGTCAAGTCTCCTGACTTGAATAAAGGTGCTATATAAGTACATGCCATTTACTATTTAGGGCCAAGGATGAGGGAGGGCTTGTTGATCTCCATCTCCCCATACGCTCTCGCTTGTGTCCAACCTTTCAGACATTTCAAAATCTTTTTCTGAATCCTACACTGTAGCATGGCGTAGACAATTCGAGTTTGCAGTTTGAAGAACACCTGCTTGCTTCTGATGATTTCCTTTAGCTAACCAATGAGTGTTTGCATTATATGACTCATCCAAATTACACTAATTTTCACTAGATGTGGATGGCGCCAATGATCTGCATTGGATGGCACACATGACGTGAAATAAATATTTAAAAACATTAAACCGAAGTCAAGAGTAACGAGTAACGTTTGTTTTAAAAATGTAAGGAATAGAAAGTACAGATACTTGTGTGAAAATGTAATGAGTAGAAGTCAGAAGTAGGAAGAAAAATAAGTAATGGAGTAAAGAATAGATACCTAAAAATTGTACTTAAGTAAAGTTACGAAGTATTTGTACTTCGTTACTTGACACCTCTGATAGTAGCAGCTGAATACTAAAGCTGCAATATGTTACTGCATGTGTTATCTTCCTTTTCAGACCCTTTTTTGTGTTATTACAAAATCTTTTATATCTTTTCTTGTCTTATCTTTTTTATATAACAAAATCAAGGTTCAATCTGATAAGAAAGGCTCAGTGTAGAAATGTACATAGTTATTTTAAGGGTGAACATAAAAAAAATATATATATATTTTGAAGAACAAAAGCATTTACTGCAATGATAGAGTGTCTTGCTGTTTAATTCCCATCCTTTATACTGTAACAAAAGAGCATTGGATCAAAAATCCTGGAGAAAAAAAAGGGATGCTCTTTTTTTTCCTGAGGATTTTCCATCCTTTCAAGAGAGAGAGGGGTGGGGGTGTGCTCATTTTTCTCACGACCTGCTACCGGCTGCATCGTGAAAGGACGAGCCCGTGTTGGGAGGAGTCTTTTTTTATCTCTCTGACCTCCGTGGGCAGTACTTATTGATAGCATGGGTGTGTTATTGGTACATGACATTTAAATGATGAGGAAACAGGGCGAGATCACCGGCTAGCCTGTCCAATCACGTATCGAGGTGTGCCTCCTTAGAGGCGGGGCCCTACGCGGAGTGGGCGGGGCTTGAGGCGGAAGCGTGCCTCCGCTGATCTCTCGCTGTCATTCGGCCACGGTGGGTTCCAGGAGAGAGGGGCAGCTACGAAATACACGCAAGGATCGGCTGGCTCTATAGAAAAGACAGCAAGCAAAAAAAAATATATATAACCCCAAAAAACCAAACGGATAATGAAACCGAGCGAATAAGGTTTAGAAAGGGAACCCCGCTGAGCTGCCACGTTAACAAAGCTATTTAATGATTGAGTCCAGATCAGAGGCAGCAGATAGTGAGCTGTGTCATTGAGAGGCAGGACACGTCAGGAGAAGGGAGAGAGAGAGAAAAAAAGCTGACCGACTGCACTGTACGAGTCAGCTATTAAATCGCCTTTGAAAAGCTTTGCCTGCCGCACTCATCGCTTCAAGGACATCCTCTCGCTGTCAGGCCGAAGCAAAGAAGCTCGACAAAAAAAGGTACCGCCGAGGTCGAAAAGGGTGGTTGGAAGGTGAAAAAACTGATTCTTACTCGCGCGCACAGCCTGTCCAGCGAGCTAGCATCTGTGCTAACAGCCGTTAACAGCTAGCTTGCTAATGTTAGCTACGGGTAAAAAAAAAAAAAAAAAACTTGGTCAGCTTTATTAATGTGTACTGTCTGAATGTCAACGTCTGTCGCAGGAATACGGGGATAATAAAATACAAAATGAATATTGTTTAGTGAAATGTAACACACTGTTCTCAAAATGAAACTTATCTTCGATTTTATTTATTATCTGCTGCTGACAGCTGTCAGAGCAAGGTCGACTGCTTTATTCCCAAACGCTAATTTGGTTAAGTTGTCTTGTTTAAAATGTCCGATTTTATTTCGGTTTCTTATGTCTCGCTGTTGCAAGTTAAACGCCCGCCTGCCAGTTTGCCTTTCTAAAAACCTTCTGCTGGAGGAAGCCTGTTTTTGACACAGGAGTGTTTCTGGTTTTACGCGAGGCTGACAGGAGCTCAGCTGGCCTCTTACAAACTGCCAACGTCACGCGGTTATAATTAGCTAAAGGTGGATTTTTTTTCTTCCTTTTTTCCATCGGTTGGATTCGCACAACTCCATTTGGATTGGATAAGCACAGGCTTATGATCATGTTTTTTTTAATTATTAGGTTAGACATTATTGAAAAACAAACTAGTTATTAACTAAGCTATGTGCAGTAAACAAACAGATATATTGATAGCTGTCATATGTTGACTTTAGAGTAGAATTGCACTGATCCAAATTTATTTCTGATTTTGTATGAAAAATTGACCTGCTGATACTGAGGGAGTAATCAATATAGTTATTTATACTATTGAGCCTGATAGAGGTGCAACACACAGTTGAGATCTTTGTTTCTATTTAACAAAAGACCAAAATATCATCCCTAAATCACCTGACTAACCTGCTGCCGCCTCCAACTTTAAATGGCCAGAACAGAATTTCAGATTTTTATTTTTAGATTTTTTTTTTTTTATGATGCATTAAATCGGTAAATCGACCATATAGAGACGCTTTAAAGTATAATATTCTCCCATCAAATTAACTTAAAACTTACTTTTATTGAACAACAGCTACAGAAAAGGGAACTTTTAACTTTAAATGGAGCGCTCCATTGAAAGCTGCTGCTGCTGCTGCAGTGCATGATGGGACAGCTGTCAGAATCTCAAGGAGGCACAAGTCTGCTCTGATGCATGCTGGGTAAAGATGGAGGGGCGAGACCAATATCCGGGGACTTTGTCTGTTTTCGGTCTGCTGTTCTTGTAAATTGGAACAGTACTAGGGCCGAGAACGCACAAGTACACATATTGAGAAACGGCCTCCATCTAGATTAGTCGATCCTGGTGGCTAAAGCTAATGGTTAGCTCTGTGCATTCAGCACCAAATTGGAATTCTACAGTTTTTGAATAGCTCTAATCTTGAATCTGTCATCTTGTTTTATGGGGAAATGTTCATATTCCATCATTATGTTCCTGTTCAGATGGTTATTCCTTCAGAAGTGCATTATTATTTAAGCAGGAAACGTGGGGACAGAGTGCCATCGATGATTATCTGTTTGAAATGTACTAAGAAAAGGAATATTTAATATAAATCTACTGACAATACTCAATAAATATACCTATGGAAAAGGGATTCGGTTCCAGCCTAAACATTTGTTGCAGTTTCTACAAATGTACTTTAAAAATAAGCAGTGGCTCACTTAAAGTTTCATCTCCTGTAATTATGAACCCAACAGGGAAAAACAAAATCCTTTTATGTGGCAATGTGGACCCACCTGGTGAACCCCAAATCCCTTGATCTTTTGGGAACTGAAAAGGGCTGAGTGCTAACCTGCATGCCTTTCTGTTTTCTCTTTTCACAGTCAGACCAAAGAGATCGCAGAATTGCATTTGTTCTGGGGGAGAGAACAAATGGGGGATTACGGGTTCGGAGTCCTAGTTCAAAACAACACTGGCAACAAGTCTGCGTTCCCGGTCCGAATCCACCCGCATCTACAGCCCCAGCATCACCATCAGAATGTGTCTCAGAGCCCCGGTGCTTTCATAAACAGCACCACAGCCACGGGGAATGGCACCACGGGAGGCTCACCCTGGCTCTTTGCTGCCTCCGCCACCCACAACAGCGTGCAAGACGAAATCCTTGGGGGCACAGAGAAGCCCAAAGCACAGCAGCAACAGGAAATGCAAGAAACCCAAGAAAAGCAGCAGCAGTTGTCTCCCGTGGGTCACCAGGAGACAGGGAGCGGTGGTGGGATAATTTCCGAACTGGAAAAGTCCCGATCAGAGGAAACCAAGACAGAGAATGGCACGTCAGAGAGCAGCAACGGAAAGGAGAAGCAGCTTCGTCTTGAGTCACCTGTCTTGACTGGATTTGATTATCAGGAGACATCTGGTCTGGGTGGGACAGGCCCTGTACAGTCGAGCACAACCTCGTCATCACTTACCGGCTTTAACAATTGGTCAGCTGCCATCCCGCCCGCCCCATCAACAATTGTCAACGAGGACGTCAGCTTTTTTAACCCCGCCTCTGCCAACAACGGGCCTCTGCTGTTCCAGAACTTCTCGCACCACGTCAGTCCAGGGTTTGGGGGGAACTTCTCTCCCCAGATTGGACCGGCTACAGCCTTGTCCCAGCACCATCCGGCCCCGCCGCCTCACCCGCATTTCCAACACCCCCACAACCAACACCAGCAGCATCGACGCTCCCCGGCCTCCCCCCACCCTCCGCCACCCTTCCCGCATAGGAACCCGGCCTTCAACCAGTTGCCACATTTGTCCAACAGCTTGAACAAGCCCCCGTCTCCCTGGGGTCCGGCCAGCTACCAGAGCCCCTCTCCTTCCCCCGGCTCGTCTACCTCTTGGAGTCCTGGAGGAGGCTACGGAAGTGGAGGCGGCGGCTGGGGAGGAACTCAGGGCAGAGATTATCGCCGTGGGCTTAATGGAGGAATGACTCCTATCAATTCTATCTCACCACTGAAGAAGACCTTTCCTAACAACCATGTGGCCTCCCAGAAGTACCCCAGAAACAGCCCTGCCGGCTTCAACCCAAAGTCATGGATGGATGATGGAGTAGGTCGCGATAATATTTTCCCTTTTCAGGTCAGTATTGCTTTGATCCTTTCATCAAATTAGTAACTTATGCATTAAAGTAACTGTATAACTTTAGGAGGCATGTTGTAATTCGCTGTTAATGTGATTACATTTTGTGGTCGTACTGCTGTTTTTAGGCGGGGGGTTGACATTGATTTGCACAATTTGCTTGTTACTGTGTAAAAGCTGTCACTGGACTCTGCACTTTCACAGTTGAATGTCCCTTGTGGTGACTCACATGGATCTATCACTGCAGTGGCGTGTGCCACGTTGGTGGAAGGAGGAAGAGGAGGCAATGCTGGGAGGGGGATGGGTGGAGGCTGGTGGGTGCATTTGATTTAGTCCAAAGATGGGGATAGGGGGAAAATGGAGAAGGTTGTTTACAATTAAGACAAAGAAAAACCTGACTGGAACCGCAATCATCGCCACCATGGACCTGCCTGGTTAGGTTCTTCTCTGATGTACAGAAGGTTTCTGTATGTTGCAATTGTTCATGCAGCATTCTTCCGCAGATGACCCACATCATTTTGAAACTGATTGTAGAAACAAAACAGAATGAGGAGACATCAGAGGTAAAGTGCAGTTGGAAATCTGAAGAATAATTTTATTCCTCAGCTTCATGATTAACATAGTTGTCTCAGATTTTCTCAGCTGAACATCTTTTATGAGAATCCTTCTCATACCGTCGCATCCTGTACGCCTCCCTTGGAGCGAGAGGCTGTGCCTTTTGAGGAGATAAATTGAATTGATTTTATGTTTAAAACAAGAGCAGTTTAAAAAGAAATGGTTTGACCTTTATGATAGGTTGGATTTTTCTGCTGGAAGAACCACGGCTTCTATCCACTCCTAAAGTAACGAGCCTAGTCAGCAATAATATTTATGTAGGCTATGGATTTTCATATACTTCCATGCCATTTATTTAAATCTGAAACTGTTATAAGAGAACATGTTGGCCATTTACAGACAGCAGTCAGTAAATCCCAGGCGCTACAAGATGGTGGGAGTAAAGTATATGAGAAATTAAATATCGAAACTATTCTCACGGTGTATTTCAGTCTAGCAGGAAGCTACGTTCCACTCTGTCCAAGCTCCAGTGAAACTCGGGCCTCGGCCCCCTTGGTTTTTCTTTTTTATTAGCATATCGGCCCTTTGACTGACATCTGGGCTCTGTCCACCGTATTTCACCCTCGTTACAGGGAAACTTTGAATATTACACTGAAATTAGGCAGATTCACTGACTTTCATTGGGGGTAATTGCCGCTTAAACTGTGATTTTTAACACATTTATCTTTATATTTACACATATATGTAAGAAAAGCGCTGAGAGCGTTACCCTGCTGGCAGCCGATAGAGAGCCAGCTTTAAAAGCATGAGTGGAGTGTCCAGCTCCAAAGGATTCCCAAATGCAAGGAGAATCGACTGATGGTCAGATTTCTTTTTGCTTTCTGATAGTTCTCTAATTAAGGGGAAGATTGCCTCCAACATTGAGAGGAAATTGAAAGAAAAAGGATTTGGGCTAAATTTTCAAAAGAAAGACAATATGGGTGTAGCTTAAAAAAAAAGAAAATTTCTACACTAATAAATCCTGGTGATGAACTCTGTCTCTTTTAAAATGGTTTCTTCTTTTTACTCGCTCTCTGGAAATCCGTCTGTTTCTTCACACTAACTTGCTTAGAAGTGCTACCAGAGTCAACATTTCCCTGAGGTGTCACTGGCAATATATTTGGAAATTCTCAAAGTGACTAGTTTGCGCTGTAGTACCGGCATTCAGTCAGATAATCTGGATTCCAAATTTTCTTGCATACAAGCAAATCAACTGAGTAAAAGGTAGTCCTTCTGATGACCTTCCCAACGATTTCTTTCCTCCATTTGCAGTCAGCGAGCCATGGGGCTTCATAGGTCAAATAGAAAGGACTTTGTGCTGACATGTCTCGACTTGTTCCTGTACAGTTACACTGCAAAACTAAATCCACCAGTCAGACAGCGATGGTATACAGTAAGTTACCTTTTTATAATGGGTTTTTTTCAGACAGTTAATATCAAATAAGGCTAAGTTTGAATTTACTGTTAGATAGAATTTTCTTCTTGTGGTCATTAAAGCATTTTAGACTCCTAAAATCTAATAAAAAAAAGTTTAGTAAGATAAAAAAAAACTAACTATATAACATCTTTAACCTAAAGGTTGTTTGGTTGCACACAAGCAAAAGAAAGCAGTTGTTTTATTGAGTTATATAATGAGGAATTTGTCGGTACAATGAATAATAAAATAAATAAATAAATATAAAAAACAAATGAATCTAGAAAAAACTGTGTTCGTTTAGCTGCAAGAAGTTAAAAAGAATCGGCACTAATGATGCATCAGTCAGATATCCAGATGTAAAATCAGCTCTGATATTGACTAATAGCTAGATCGGATATCAGATGAATGAAACTGATCCGGCATTTTTATCCTATCATTTTCTGTTTTTTTTTTCTTTTTTTTTTTCTTATTAATACCATACACAGACAGTTACAGTGTGATCTAGTCGCTTGAGTTGGAACAGCACATTCATTATCATGCAAAGCACCACAGCAGCTAGTGATGATTTTTATGTTTGATTTTGTACCTTTTTTTTTAACCATGTCAGTATCGCATTGACTTGAATAAAAAGGATTGGTGTGTCTCTAATTGTCACTCCACTTTCCTAACTCCATAAAATACATATAGCACTTAGCCGACATATTCACAATTCTTTGATTTTTTTTTTTCACATTTGTTAATATTACGATTTCTTTTGTGGGGCTTTATGTGCTTGAAACGAATAAAGTAGCGAGGACATTTATACTCAGTCCTCTTTACATATGCTAACTTAATAAAATCCAGTGCAACCGTTTTATTTCGGAAGTAAACGTTAAAGAACATACGTACTGTATGTTCTTTAACGTTTACTTCTGAAATAAAACGGTCTGCATTTGGTTTAAGGTTTACACACTATTTCAACCAGAGAAGAAGGTGAAAGCACGATCCAAGCTGAGGAAATGATTTTCTGTTCTTATGCGACCTGAGAGAATGTTAAAGCTTCACCTTTATCCCACTCTTTAAAATACACCAAAAACTAAAATCTATTTTTTTTTCTGCATATTCTGATTATTAAACTGGCCTAGTCAAAGTTAAGACTTATTCCAGTAAATAATCTAGTGTGATCTAAAATTGATGCCATCTGTCCTATTTGATTTGGTTCATTTTTGTAAAAAAAACAAAAATAAAGGCAGATAATTGGTGGCTTGATGCATCTGCAAAATACCGACTCAGATGTGTTTAATAGACGACGAGGAGGCCTCAGAAATATGAAACCTTTTTCAATAATGTGCCGCTTTGTGTTGTTTAACACATGAAATCCCAACAAGGCAGTGTGTTACTGTAGCTGCTGCTTGTTTCTCTGTAGCTGATTCAGAACAACCAAAGTAGCATTGTCCTCCTGGCCTCTCGAGTCTGTAAGGGCAGATTGGGTATGGGCTTTGAATGGCTTTTCTGTGTGACGGGAATAGTTATGTAAATATAACCTATTTGGCCAAAACAATTGGACTTTATTTTTGCAATCAAAATGAACAGCATCAAGTAGCATTATTAACAGAATGTTTAAGACTTAAAAAAAAGGAGCTTAAATTAACAAGGTGTATGGGGAGATTTTTGCTGTCTGGTTTGGTCAGATGGTGCAGCAGGTGGTCTGTTCTCTAGATTAAATTCAGGGATTTGTTCAAAGAGTTGGTGTAAAGTTTCCAAGAAATTGGAGGTCTTGAATCTCTCCTGGATCCATCTTATTTTCTGAATTTTCCTCTTTTTTTTTTGTAACCACCGTCATCTGTAGTATTACCTGCTAAAGAAATTGTTTTCCATCTTTTTGGGGGAGTTGACGAAGTTCACCTCATCCATTTTCTACCTTCCTCTCTGTCTGTTTTTTTTTTCTTCACATGGCTTTCTGCTTCCATTCTCGTGTTTTGTTGTATACTCCACCTTTTTCATTTTTTTTTTTTTTTACCAGGCCTTGGTACACGCACGCTTAACTGACCTTCATCTGATAACTTGTACTTTAGGGAAGCAGTAATTAAAACTGAATCTGATGGCGGTGCTGCTCGGATAACTCTGACAGTTTCCCAGGCAACGATACATAGGTCACATTTAGCTCCTCATAGACTCCCAAACGCAAATCGTTGTTGATTTCCAAAACCACAAATTAATATTTGATGTAATTTTTGCCATTCCTTTTGTTCCCTGCTGGGAGTTCTTCTTGACTTATTTATTTGCCAGGTTTGAACAGATCTGATGAAAAAAATAAAAAGGAGTGCTCAAACACATCCTAGATCTAAATGAAAGAAATGTTGTTATTGAATTCTTTCTTCTGTACAAAGTCAAATGTGTTTGTAAAAAATCACACAAAAATAATGGACAACAAATTTATTAATCAATGGAAGCCTGGATTTGGAGTTGCACACAAAAAGTAACACCTTGGTGTATCAAATCTTTAGGCTTTGGGTGGAGTAGGGGGTTCTGGGGTATCCTCCCCTGGAAATGTTTGAAATTTAGTCTCTCTGAAACGCCATCTCCTGCATTTTGAGGTGGAATGCAGCTAACTATTTCTCTTTTTTACATCACTACTTTTGTGTCAATTAGAGATGGACATTTTGTACGGAAGACATGAGATCAGTTTCAGGTACAATATTATGTCTAATAGGTTCATTCAAATAACCAGAAAGTGTAATGCTATATCACACCAAGATTTGAGCAGCAAAATGGCAGATGATTTTTTGTAGCAGACAAGTAGCTTCTACACACCTCACAAGTGGCCAAAGGATTTAATCTGGGTACCTATTGGCCGTCATGCTACCTCTGGTGAGCACAGGTCGGACTGTGTGCCCCTCCAAAGAAATTCAACCTCACGCCATTACTGACCCACTGCCAAACCGGTCATGCTGAAGGATGTTGCAGGCAGCAGGTCCCTCTCCACTGTCTCTCCAGACTTGATCGTGTC